TGACCTTGAAATCTGAATTAGCTCCTGCTAATTGGATGGAGCGAACTATCATTTCCATTTCTGAATTTGTAAAATTGTTTTCTCAGGGAAAAAGAAACATCAGCTTTACTGGGCTAACTCAGTTCTGTGTAAGTTTGCCTTCCTGTGTTTTGGTGTAGCTGGGTGAGCAAAAGGACACTCTATTTTGGTGGCAGAACCTGGAACCCAGCTTTCTGATGCCACACAACCTCCCTCAACTAGCTTTCCCAGTGGAGTTCTCCACAGGCAGGCCAGGACCAACCAAAGCTAGCTGGGTTGCTAAGCTTGGGAACACTGTCTATCCCCTTCTCATTGCCATACAAGCTAGCTTTCCTACACAAGAAATTTACCGCCAATAAAGATGTAATATTTATTGAGCACTCACTATGTGGCAAAGTACCTTATGAAAGCCGGCACATACAATAATTTTCTTGCTGAAGCCGCACAGTGAATCCAAGGCTTATGGATGTTAAATTGCCCAAATTTCCCAAGTATAAGAGGAAGGACTCAAACCCAGACCTTGCTGGTTTCAGAATTCATGTTTTTTACACAATATTATTCTTTTTAAAAAAATATATACATTTTTTATTGATTTCAGAGAGAAAAAAGGAGAGGGGGAGAGAGATAGAAACAACAATGATGAGAATCACTGATCGGCTGCCCCCTGCACACCCCACACTAAGGATCAAGCCCGCAGCCCAGGCTTGTGCCCTGACCTGGAATTGAACTGTGACCCCCTCGTTCATAGGTCAATGCTCAACCACTGAGCCATGCCAGCTGGGCTACACAATATTATTCTTGTATCATAATGTAGGCTGGGTCTAGGGAGAGCTTCACTATACTTTCCAGCTTTCAGAATGGAATGTGGGTATATGAATATGGGCAAGAAAGAGCAGAAGGTTTCTACTCCTCACATTTTCTTTAAGTCTGAGTAGCGGCAGGGCCAAATGACGACCAAAGAGTGGCCAGTTGCTCTTCTCAAGTCTTCACCTTATTCAGGTTATTGGCTGGGAAATTATGGGAAAGCTCAATATTTTTACATATTTAAGATGTGAGTTCAAAGGGAAGAGTTATAATAATCTAAATGGCTTATTCAAAATATTTTGGACCTTGATTTTATAAGGAAAATTAACCAGTAACCTCGTCTTGGAGCTGGGATGTTCTGACCTCATAAATTTAACCATGTCCAAGCTCCTGAGATAGTCATACTTCAATGTCTCCTTATCAACCTGGTACATTTCAGGTGCAGAATTGATGATGTCAGGAGCAATGCGGTATCTGCTACCATGATGCTGTGCACAATGCTGGTTCCATCAGGCATCACCAAATAGACAGCAAAGGAGATTAGTTCTAAGTGTGACAAACATAGAATTCATCAGGGGTTGCAGCTGTGATAAGTTCACTGTCAGTGATACCCCAATGCACTAAAATTAAAAAAAAAAGTCTCTGTAAGCGTTTCCTATCCATTTTCTTCTGAAGTTTAAAGTTGCATAAATTTCCATTAGCAGGTCACCATATTTCTGAACTTGTACATTAACCAGTAAAACTTAACTACTCTGTACATGGTTATATTATTTTAATCTTTGGGTAACTAAATTCGAGGTCAGTCTTAGACTCACTAAGATAAACAACCACAATAAAAGCTTTACTTTTAAATAGACCATCTGACAGATCTCTTTTTAATTGATCAGGAAGACTGCACTTCTAGACTAGGTAAACTATTGGGAAAAGAAATCTTGTATGGTCAAAGGTAGATTATTTTTTCTCTCCCTTGCATCTAGTTATATTACATTAACCTGTGAAACAGAATCATCCAGAAATACAGAAATATCACTGAATACTCAGTCTTGCAAATTACCATTCTCTCTGGAATGACAAATTATATATTCCACCGACTTCTAGAGCATGTTGGTTTAATATTTTACTCAAACTGTGCATTAAAAAACTTTTTTGAATGCTTGTTATATGCAAGGTTTTCTTTGTACCTTTTCAAATGATTATGGACTTAGGTTGGTTTAAATGCAATAGTCACGTGGCTCTCACACATGGCATTACCTATCTTCCTTATTCTGCATCGTGAGACTTCTTTATAAAACTGATCTAGTTGAACAATAATAATTAAAAGGCTTTATTTCCAGGATCTTTCAAAGAAGTGGAGGGGAAAAGGGAGAATAGATATGAAGGGCTAATTTTAAGCCATGGAGAGGAAGTCAAAATCAAATGAGAAAGGTACATGAAGTAGACATGTATTCACTATAAAATCTAATCTACCATGGGGCTTCCGTCTCTTAGACTCTGACCTCTAATTGTCTTAGCAAATTTCTTTCCCCTCTCTTAGGCTTCTAACTTTGTTTTGATGACCGACAGGCTACCATTTTCTCGATGTTGGTTTTAAAAATGCCTGTGATCACCCAGATTCCTCACATGCTTGTCAGCCTCTGTAAATATCCTGAACTCTAGTTGCCAGTGATTTATTTTCTAGATATTCAGCATCTGCCATCTTCCAGGCACTGAGCTGGGCACTGGATGTACATAGAGAACAATGCCCTCAAGAGTACATGACCTCCTAGGGGAGGACTTTCAGTTAATCAGAAGTTGTGAGCTAGATGAAAAATACTATGGTGTGCTATGAGATAGCAAAGGAGGAGTCCTTTACATCTGGAAAAGGTAGAAATTTCATGGAAGGATTCCAAAACAAAGACACCCTCTT